CTTGCTAGACAGGTGCTATGTCGCTGAGCCATATCTATGGGTTGTCATTTTTTTTTAATGGGTTGTCTTTGAAAGTTATTTTATAAGTGAATATTTGTACTTGCTCTGTGGCACATACTTGAAGTAGAAATGGAAAGGAAAAAAAAGGGATTGGTTTATAGCACTGTGGAGAAGTTAGCACTGATGGTGCCTGGTGGCCAGAAATGAGGACCCTAGAGAGGTTTACTAAGGAAGTTTTCTTGACAGACCTGAGTGGGCCTGTCAAGTACAAGTGCAAGCCAGGCTCTGAAACAGTCAGCGTACATTAAAGGCGGGCATATCTGATGATTTTCAATCCAAAGTAACTTTTTGGCTTTAAAAAAAAAATTTTTTTCCACATACTAAAAATGATTTCTCATTGTTGCAAAAAGTTCTTCAGAGAAATGAGGGCATAGCCAAAAGTACCATTTTTAACTAAGTGGCAAGGTTGGATCAACATGCCCACCAGAGCAGCTGAAACTGAGAGTTCCCACTCATCTTGGTCACTTTTCTAACTTCCTGAACCCTGAGGACTGTCTTCCCATTTCTAGTGTCATTGCACCCAACCCATGTGTCCTCCTTTCAGCCTCAATCCTGTCTGCAGTTGTTCAGCCCAAAGGTAGTGGCTGATGTATCTGTAAATTCAGCAGCCCTAGTACTGAGGCTCATCCATAGTTCCCAGTGCTCCCTTCTTCACCAAGCCCTTTCTTCTTTTGGGAGGAGACCAGGTTCACTCTGTTCAGCTATGTTTGTTTGCCAACAGACTTCAATACCCGACTCGGAAAGCAATCTGGATCAGAACTGTTTGTCTCGCTGCAGCACAGAGATTTTCTCTGAAGCCAGCTGGGAGCAGGTGGATAAACAGGACACAGAGGTACAGGCCCACTCCCTGCTCTGAGCACCATCCATGCAACTGTTCTGCAGTTTTTCTCTGCAGTTCTTCTCTACCCCCATCCCTGCCCCGTGTCCCCGGCCAAGGAAGAACAACATCATAATACAGTTAGCCTTGAGCTTGTGGCATTTCAGTTCCTGTGAACTACATCAAGTCCATCATTTCTAAGCCAGGGAGACTCAGCAAACTGGCCTTCTCTTCATTGTCTCCATGAATTGGAGCCTTGCCAGCTCTCACAGTGACCACGGTGCTGCTGCCTGCCACTTTATGTCAGGAGATTGGAGTTAGCTCCAGGGAAAGGATGTGGACGCCTTTCTTGTACTGTTGACATCAGACCTGTTGAGCTGGTGCCACATAAACCTGTGTGGTCCATATGACTCTTGTTGACCCCAGCCTGGCTCTGTTGGCTCTAGCTGGATGGCCTACTTCCAGTCACTAAACTGACCCCACCTGTTTTGCAGATGACCCGTTGGCTCCCTGACCACCTGGCTGCCCACTGCTATGCCTGTGATAGTGCCTTCTGGCTTGCCAGCAGGAAGCACCACTGCAGGTACATGGGGGGTGTTGTAGGATGGGCTGGGGTATGGAGGCTACACAGAGCCTGCCAAGTGGAATGTACCAGGCTTCCTGCTGGAAGTGTTCTGACTAGGCAGACTCCTCTTTGCATTTGCAGAACTGCATTTGGTGTCTTTGTTCTAGTTTGGAATGATCACTATTAAATTTTTGAAATGGGTAATTATATCTTATTTTGTCTTATCTCCCAGATTGGGTGGTGAGGGGGGACAACACCACTCAGATCATTGTCTTATTTTCAGTGTAAACTGCAACATAGCTACTGTGAACAAAAACAATTTTTTGGCTATGGTCAGTTAACTTCATTTTCCTACTCTTTCTCTGCTCCATGATTCCAAACTTGTCCTTTGTACCATCAATGAGCAGACATAGCTGGAGGGAGTAGTAGAAATAGCTGAGGGCTATCTTTAATCCTTAGGGCTCCCAACTTGTGTCTCCTTTTAGGCTTGGGTAGTGAGTTACTAGGGATATTTTGGCCCAGCGGGAGTGGTGACTGTCTAGCAGATGTCAGTCTTCTTGGGATAGGAAGTTTATCAGAATCATGCCATGGCTCACCTACACAGGCAGCCTGGATTGAAAATGGATCAACTTCTTTGTCTGTTAATGATGCTTCTAGAACCATGTATTTTCCCATCTTACACCCCAAGCCCAAATGTCTTTGGTTGGCTTCTTCTCTGAGCTCTTTCTCCCCTCCTTGCAGGGACATTGACCGTGTTGATCAAACGTGGTGAGCATCTGCACCAACCTGTCTGTGATGTCTGCACATCTCCAGTAACTTCACACTAATGCTGTTACTTCTCCTCTCTGCACTGACTGGGTTGAAGCCTGGGGCAGGGGAGTGTAGGCAGGCAGGTGGGGTTGGGGGAATCCACAGCAGCTGACAGACGAGACCATTGAAGGCGAGTCTGATCATTCAGATCAACATGTCCACCTTGCTTTTGACAAGAAGTGACGCTTCTGTAGGGTCTGATCTTTTGAGGAGCCACTTAGGTTTTCAGAACTATTTCTTTCTTTTGTTTTGTTTTGTTTTGTTTTGTTTTGTTTTGTTTTGTTTTGTTTTGTTTTGTTTTGTTTGTGGAACCAGGGATTGAACTCAGACCCTTGCGCTTGCCAGGCAAGCACTTATGCTACTGAGCCATCTCCCCAGCCCCAGCTATTTCTTTTGGGTTGGTCATTCACTGAGATGATGCTTGTGTCAGATAGCACCACTGGTCCTTGTTTTTGTTTTTAAAGAGAAAGAGATCTGAGTAGTGATGATCTTCCCAAATAATTGTTTTATCATGGAAGACTTTAATGGAATTTCTAGGTCCTCTGAAGGAAGTCAGGTAGGAAAGCTTGACTGTTGAAATTTATGTCAGGCTTTTGAGCTGAACTCCAGCAATTATATTAAAGAAATGTAGTCATTCAGAAATGTTTCTGTGTTACCATAGGTTCTTACTGATGTTTTAAGAAACGATTATGAGGTACTTACTACATTGTAGAAGATGAAATTTTATGTGCTCATTTTACTTCTCTTTCTATTGCCTTGTATCCTGCTTTTTCCTTCTGTAGTATTCTTCTAACTGAGCTTTCTTCTTGTGCCTAAGTGCCCTTAATCCAGTGGTGGGTTTGGAAAGGTAGAGAGTGCTGTTTAAAAGGAGTATTTGTTTGTTTTTTCCCCTATAAATGCCTTCCTCTAGCTATGTTAGGCCTCCTGGAATTTCCTATACTGTCTCATTGGGATTGGCTTATACTTTAAGGCCCAGCAAATACAGGTTGTAAGGCAGGTAGAAACTTATCCTTTATCGCTTCTTTTCTCTTAGCTGTGACATATATTGGTCAGGATATATAGACCTATACTACACAGATGCATCAGAGCAGGATTTTTGGTAGAGGAGCAGAGGTATCCTGGACCTGTGTGCAGTCAGGCCCTTAGGTAGGACCCTAAGTTTCCCTGGAGATACATAGAGGAGGGGGTAGTAAGCCATAACTGACTGACAGCTATCTAATAAGGATGTGTGCGTGCACATGTGCTTATCCATATGCTTGTCCTCCCACCTCTCCTTTTCCACTCTGAGCATGCATCATGGGCTGCCTGACTCCTGGCTTTGCATGCTGCCTACAGAGCAGTTATAGATGACAGCAGTCTCTCTTCCCAGTTTGCTACCTCTGAGCCTCTAGAGCAGTGGCCCTTGGGAAAGGTTGCTGCTGCTTTTTTTTTTTTTTTTTTTTTTCTTCTCTCCAGTACCGGAGATTGAACTCAGAACCCTGTGCTTGCCAGTCAAGCACTTATTCTACTGAGCTATCTCAGCAGGGTAGAGTGATTATCTCTCTTCTTGAGGGGCCCAGAGATAGCTTCATTTTACTTGAGCTTCTCAGTGGTCACAAGCTACACAGAGCTCATTGCCCAGGTAGATACGGTCATTGGGTAAGTTCCTGGATCAGGACTTTTCCATTGATTTAGCAGCAGCTGCTGCTTGGACCCATTTGTTCTTACTGTTTTCTCTTGAGCATACCCTACTCAGGTAACGTTGAGCTAATAAAGCAGGCAAGTGTCTGTGGCCCCAAAATGAAAGTAACCCATGATTCTGGTAGGTAGAGATGTCTTCCCTGCCTAGCATTTAATCTCAGAGGAGTCTTAGCACGTCCAAATTACATGTAACAAAATTCTGTTTTCTGAGGTTCTTTTCTCACTGCATATCTGCTAGCTGAAACTAACTTTTGTTTCTTCTCATCTCAAGGAATTGTGGAAACGTATTCTGCTCAAGTTGTTGTAACCAGAAGGTTCCAGTTCCTAGCCAGCAGCTGTTTGAACCCAGTCGAGTATGCAAGGCTTGCTATAGCAGCCTACATCCCACGAGCTCCAGCATTGACCTTGAACTGGATAAGCCCATTGCTGCCACTTCAAACTGAAGCTCAGTGACCTGGGGTGGGCAGAGGCCAAGCTACTGTTCCTCTGACAGGCCCACACAGCCTGGGAAGACTTGAGAGGCCCGTGTACTTGGAATGGGGCATGGAACCAACTGTACAGAGTGACAGAAATTGGGATGTACCACTGGATTGTAGATTGATTTTTATTTTAACCGCTCTTCCCTTTTCTATCCTCCCTCTGCTTTCAAAACAAAAAGGTCCCTAGGTTGTCTTAATTTTTTTTTTTTAAATGAAAGACCAGAGGTTGCCAGGCTCCCTCTAGCTGGGCTGCCTTCCGTCTGGCACACCGAAGAATGGCATGATGCTTCTTGGTGTAGAAGACTGATCAGAGCCAAGAATAGAGGCCTGAGACAGTGGCTAGGAATGAAAGCCAGTCGCTATATGTGACCATTCCTCATGCCACCGCCACATCAAACTGGTTGGGAAACCTTTGCTGCTGGAGAGGCTGGAAGCATCTTCCCAAGAACAATGTTCTAGGTGCCTCTCCTTCCTGAGAAAGGGTCCATCCCGCCTCACAGAGATGTAGGATTGACATTGGAGGAAGGGCACATAGTGCATGGAATCCCCAAACTCCTTTTGGAAAAGGTGTGTGCTCTTTGAGGCAAGCGAAAGGGGCTGGGGCTGAGTGATCAGCATGTTGTTCCCCATGGGATTCTGTTTTTAATTGACCCAGATTGTGTAGGCTTCCTTTATGTTCAGGGAGCTGTTCCCTGGGTAGGCTGGATACTGCTTCCTCAGGCATAAGAGTGCAGTCCAGTCACACTGTGGTTTCAGGGTGGCCAGGGCCTCCCCTGAGCACAAGTATACCCAAGAACCCCATTCCAGGGCCAGATCCTACAAATAATCTCTCTTCCTCAGCCAGTACAGGGAAGTCCAGACTCAGGGTTCCAAAAATTCCCATTCCTAAACCAAACAAATCATGGATCTCCCATTTAAGGGGTAGAATCAGCCTTTAGAGTTAGAAAGGTCCCCACACAATCAGCCTTCCTCCTCCTCCCTTTCTTTGGGCAGCCCAGCATGCCCAATAATTCCCCTTGATCTCCTGATCACCTGAGTGCACATATGCCCACTAGCAGGTGGCTGAGAGTAAAGGGACAGTTGGTGATTTGGCAAGGTTCCTTAGAGAAGTGACTTGTCTTTCGGGGAGATTCAGGGCACCTTTCCTCAGTGAGATTTAATATGGTCCAAAACTAGCCTTAAATCAAGAGTATATTTGTGTTGGAAGTGAGTATGGAGAAGGGTGGAGAGATGTTTAGGGTTGTGCTCTGTAAGGTTGGCTCCATGTTTTGTGCCTGCCCTCCCTCTTAGGGAAAGGGAAGGGCCACACTTGAAAATTGCTAACTGGTAACAAGATGGGGAACACTGAAGTTCCACCCTTCCCAGTACTCCTCTTCCCTTTTGGAAGCAGTTTCCTGGCTAAGGGCAAGATATATCTTAGGAAGGTGGCTCCTACATGTCCATGAGTATGGTTTACATGTGATCCAGACACCTTTCCCAGCACTGTCCAGCCAAATCCCAAAGTATCGTGAGCATGACCCCCAACTCCCACAACAGCAGGTTGCTCAGAGTCCATGCTTAGTGTAACAGGGTGGTGTTCTTCTCCACACTCTGTGTGGTCTTGTGCAGGTAGGGAGAAGTCAATGTAGTTAAAGATTGTGCGGTTCCTAGTGACAGGTGCCAAGAGGTTATGATACGGGTTTCTTGGGTCTGATGTACAGTGTGAATAAATGCTTGCAGCTCTTAGCCCTTTTTTGATCAATGAAGCACTTTTTTATTAATATTTTTCTTTGTATGTAAAGGAGGAACCGTAACTCTCCATAGCTGTACATATAACCCTTTTCTCCTAAAGAGGAGTCCGTGCTCCTATATTTTTCATTTTTTGTCAAAGCAAGAAGTAAATACTTTAGAATTGTTAAATATATAAATAAAACAAATAAAGTTGAGTGTTCTGCATGGTGGCATTTGCTAACACGTTCTAGTTCTTTGCCCAGTGATTTACCCCTCTTCATTTTCCTGCTCACAAGTGGTTTGAGGTGCTGTTGGGAAGCTGACCTTTGGCAAAGGAAAACATCAGATTGTTTTTGGATTCTAGGCCCTGCCAAGGAACCTCACCATGATGCCTAAGCACTGAAAAACATTTCTTTAATGATTTTGCCCCTAAGATCTCTGAAGCTGAAAAAGGGCAAAGCAATCAAGAATTGTACATCAGTAATAATTAAAACTACTCTGACCTCTGAGCTTTTAAAATTTTCCTGCTGCTCTGATTTCAGGGCATCCACTCCTCTGGGCCCTGAATTCCACCCTATTCCAGGGAGTATTAATGCCTGCCTGCTGCTGTGGGGAGCAAAGGGTGACATTAGTGGGGAGGAAGGTTAGAAAACTCTGCCTCATTCTTAGATGAGCAGAGAGAGGAACTGGGAATAGAAACAGAATCACATAGGATTAGATTTTGTCTGTCCCTGCCTCTTTCCAAGCAGGGAGGAAGCTCTGCTCTTTAGATCTTTGATTAATGCTTACATTTAAACAAGGCCATGACATCTAGTCACTTCTGCATTAGTTCTTGCTTTTAAAGAGTTGGATTTTGTTTCCCTTCGTGGATGTTGAGCATCCTTCTCCTCTGTTGGTCAGTTATACAGCTCTTCCCTCAGGACAGTTTATTCTGAATACCACTTGCTCTGAGGTTGCTGTCCCAGCATCTGTGGTGAGTTGGATGGGCTTTGAAGTGTGTGTTCAAACCACACTGTCTCCTCTCCTGAGGGCCTTAATTCCTTGAGGCTGTCTGTGTAGGGTCACTATCTGAATGTGCCCTCTGACTAAAGAAGCACTGAAAACAGATCAGCTGGCTCCAGTCTGAAAGCTATGGGTGCTGTTTGTGGCAGGTGTCTGGAAATAAACTTGTCTAAGGTGTCATCTTGAACCCTTCAGTTGGCCAAGTAATCCAGTGTGTGTCGAGACCAAGTTTTGAAAAACCTGAGTGTCTGTTGTGACTAATGTGTCTACACACAGCTCCATTGACTTCTGAGGTCTAGTGGTGTAATCCTCAAGTTAAAACACTGGCATTATCTAGCAGGCTTATTGGTGGGTGGTCCATAAATGGGAAACTGCTGGAGGCAGAAAGAGAGCAGACAGGATAGTGGTGAGACCTGCACAGTATAGCTCCAAGGCAAAGAACTGTCCCGTGGAAGATGTGCTGTATGGAGAAAGGCAGTTCTTTGTGGGCACTGCCCACTGTGTTCAGCCATCGTGAAGGAATTTGGACTGAAGCACTAATGGTGACCTTGAGCTGTCAGATGTCCTTGTCATTTCTCAACTTCCCTGTTCTGGCACTGTGTCAGTAGCCTTGTTTTTAAATACCTTGGTCACCCTAACTCCAGTTCCCCTTTCCTCCAAACACAAAATGAGACCGTTGCCTTAGTCTACTGGGATTTCCCAGTAAGGATGTATGTATGCAGCATCTTTTCTTTAATATCTTTGCAGAGAATATTCTAAAAATTAAAGTACTGAGACAGATCCAAAAGAGAATGAACGAAAACAATGCCATAGAATCTCTTAAAATTCAAATGAGAATTGAGTGTATATCCCAGAATAAGATTATGAGCTACTGACTTTAAGATAGCTGGTATGCTTGTCTGCTCACACATAAGGTGAGGAGATTCTTAAGATTCTATCCATACTTCTAGATTTTTTTTAAGAATAAGGGCTGATTTGAAGGTGCCATTAAAAAAAAAAAAAAACAAAAAACGCTTCTACATTTTTAAAAGCAGTCAGTCTCTGGGAGCGGTGGTTGGATTCCCAGATACTCAAGGCAATTCAGACCAGCGCTGGAGGCAATCTGGAGCCACCAAAACAAAACAAAACCCTTCTAAAGGTGCCATTGAGGGATGTCATTTGTCTGTTGCCTATTCTGGGGCTTGAGGTTGTAGTTGTACCCTCCCAAAGTTGCATTGGCTGAAAATAGGGCTAACAGTTTAAAATAGACCCTGGGCTTTGGCAAAAGAGTTGCAAAGCATGGCAGGAGTCCCAGCTGTTTAATTTCTAGTCACATTCCCAAGAAATTTGTTCAAAGCTGAGGTTCCTGACAAGATCTCTCAAGGGCAGGACCAGTATGTGTGAGATGCTTCCTGTCAGGAGTAGAGCACAATCACGCTAAGCCTCTGACACTTAAACATGAGTGCGCCCGTCCCAGCTGAAACCTTGTCCCACTGGACTAGGGACAGGTCATCCACTGTGTGTTCTGTGCAGATATGGCTCTGACAGGCAGCCCCCACAGGGCCAGGCAGGGGAGAGGGCCATCTGCTGAACCGGAAATTACAATGTTTTTTAAATGCTGCTATTGTATTTTATTTGCCATTTAAGTTCTTTTATTTCTGAGTTCTTAGCTTTTCTTAACAGTGGTCATAACAGTTGCACCTGAATTGTATTTTCAAGTTTTACATCAGCATTTTAAATTGGACTTTGCTTTCCAACTGGTTTTATTTTTGTTTTGTTTTGTTTTTTGTTTTTTAAATGAGAATATAACCCTTGAAGCTTGGATGCTGTTGAAATGTACTGGTGTGTTGCTGCTGACAGTGGTGCTTGCATATTGTGACAGCATTGACTCTACTGTAGTATCACTGGCCATTTAAGTTGAATAAATGTCACTGTCACAGTTGTTCAGCCCCTGGATTTGGGTTGTCACTATGGTCCTCCATTCAATGCTGTGATGCAATGTCTTAGGTATGAAAGATTAATTCTTCCTCTTGGCCTAGGAGAAAGGGGCTCAGGAAGGAGAGGGTAGCTCAAGTTGGTGTTTATCCTCCAGAGACAAGGTACTCTGAAAACTGGATGCTGATAGAGGTGGAGAGGGACCTTACATCACTTTCACACTGTGAGGGACCTCCCAGGCCCATTTAGAGCTTTATTAGATTTCATTGGGGGGAGGGGGGGAGAAAGGCTTTAGTTCTTAAAAGAACTAAAAAACTATTCATGTAATCTATATTTTTATTTTTTAATGTATTTGGTACAGAGTCTCACTACACAGCTCGGACTCATAGTGTTCCTCTTGTTTTCAGCCTCCCCAGCGCTGGAATTACAGGCATGTGCCACCACTCCCAATCTTAGTGGCAGGCTAAGTGCACCCAGGGCTGGGCCAGTGCAGCATGTGGTGCTGGGGATCAAACCCTGGTCCCTGAGCTTGCCTAAGCAGGCGCTTAGTCTACCGGGCTTGCCGGCCCCGTTTCTTCCTTTTTTTTTTGAACCGGGGATTGAACTCAGGCCCTTGCGCTTGCCGGGGAAGCACTTATTCCACTGAGCCATCTCCCTGGCCCCAACTCCCCCCCACCCCGTTTCTTCCTTTTTAATTGAGGAACAAACTAAGGGAGCAACAAAGATTCATCCAGATTGCCCAATGTGTTAATTGCAAAATCTGAATAAGAACTGTCCTGTCTCCCTGTCCTTCATTTTCTGGGGCTTCCAAAATACAGCTTTACGTAAATAGCTGTTTTACTTTGGTTCTCTGAGTTAGCCATGCCACAAATCTTGGAGAGGCACTTAGGAGTTACCACCAAAAGGCTTAACTTGTGAATCCTGTGCTCCCTCCTAATCCAAATCAAGGCTTGTGATAGTGTGATCAAGTGTTATGTTTTTTCTATTCTTTCAAATACATAAAAGTGACGCAGTTCACACAAATCATCTAAATTCAAGTCAAAACATCGTAAATCAAGGGGTAAGGGAGACAGTATGTTTGATCAATAAAAACTTAGTTACAAATGGTTTCAGCATCCAGTTGTGAAATTTGTGTGATATAGATGGGGAAATTTCTGGGTTTATACAGATAAGTAGGAGTACACAGCTTGATTAGGATCTCTGTTTACTGACAGACCTGAAGTAGATGCTGAAAAAAATGAGCAGGATGCTCAACACCTTTCACTCCATATCCACTGTGTATCAGCAAACAGAGGTTGTAAGCACTAGAGTTCTCCTAGGATGAGAGCCACTAGTCTCGTCTCTGGGCTTCATGAGCACAACCCGGGGCAGTGTCCTCCCCATCAATGACCCCTGTGACGGTAACACACTGTGACAGCAACCTTACTGTGGCGCTGGCAGCCTCAGCTAATGTGTGTGTGTTAACCCTGTTAGGTGTATGTATAAAAGACAACTTTTAATGGTTAACAGCATTTGGAACAAATGCAGAGACCTGCTGAAGTTATGCCAAGAAAGTGAATTTGAAAGCCATTGGTTTGGTGGAAAAAACCAGACTCATTGGTTCCCAGCCCTGTAGCAGCTGTCGTGTGGCTCTGAGGAGCTCAGCCATTTCCTCTGTAACAGAGAACTAGCATGTAGAGGGGTCTGAAGCAGGTGTTTCTTTCCTTGTCCCACGGGATGAGATGGCACACCTGTGCCTCGCTGCCCCCAGACATTCTGGTCCACTGCATATTAAACAGTGACTGTTCTGGTATTTCATTTTACCTTTCCAAGTACATAAAAACAAGTGATACTATTAGCATGAATCATCTAACTCAGTAACATCCTAAATCAATGGAGTGGGCTGCTTCTACCTCAAAAGGATAATTTTTTTTTTACTTTGAAGTACTGTCAAGGATTTTCTGGCAGTGCTGGAACTGAACCCAGGACCTTGTGCATGCTAGGCAAATCTGAGCCACACAGCCCCAGCCTAGCATTGAGGTGTTCTGATTGCAGATTTGCACTAAATTGCAAAGGTGTCACTAGCCAAGGACAAAGTTCCTATCGGTTTTATTAGGGGTAATAATTTTAGATGAAGTCTACATGTGCATTGGTGCTTGCTTGAAAATGATATAACGGCATTGGGAAAGGTCCTGAGAGAAACTGCTTTTGGGGGTTGAGGTGACAGAACTGAGTCCTGCCTCAGACTGATATGGTCTGACTTTGCTGAACACTAATGAGTCTTAAATTTCTGACTGAAGACCTCTGGCTGAGGAGCAGG